ATCGACTGTATATTCATATATGAGACATTTCTGTAGATGAAGGAAAATAAGCAACTAACGTATATGTTACATTCTTTTATTTACTCAATCTTCTTCAGTAGTACAATTACAATTGCAAAATGTATATGTCCATTCAATTAAATGATCAATATTTAATACTATTAGTCATATTTATTTCATTAACAGATTTCATCTTTCTCGTTTATTTTTTTTGTTTCTTGGAAATCGTTTTGCGAAATTAACAAGATAACACATGCATACAGAAGGTAGAAGAAATAGTCTTTTTTTTTTTTAATAATAAAAAGAAAAGAAAGAAAAGTAACCAAGTCTAAGTCCTTGCTCCATTTGATGATGTTGTCGTATCCATAGTATCAACATTTGATTCTCCACTAGCACCTTCATTTGGTTTATCTTCATATTCAATTGTTCTTGGACCATATATAAGTAAATAAGCTGTATGCCAATCACCACCACCGGATAACTTTAAAACATCTTCAGTCATCGGTGTTACATTTTCATCATCAAACATAAGCCATTCATCTAATTTTTAAAAAATTTAAATAAATAAAAGAATACTTATACGGATGTCTTTTTTCTTACTTTGATTACGACGAACCCATGAAACATAATGTCCACTTGAACTAGATCGACCTTTATGTGTAAGAACAGCATTTAATTGATAAAAACCATTATTATTTGAACCAACATCTGATAAATAGAAAAAGACCTTACTATTAAACTAATTTAAGCTCCTCTCGTTCCTTTCATGAAAGCCATTCTCCGTCAGAAAAAAAGATAATTGAGATAGTTCTAAGTCCTATCTGTCATGCACGATATGATTTTTTTTTTGTTTGGTACCTCGTTTTTCTGTCGAAACTTTTGATGGTTTCAGTCGAGTGCTACTTGAAAGATATTCTTGTTTGATCGCGTAGCTAAGAATTCTCTGTGAATCTTCTTTCTATAAATTGATTTATTATTTTTTTGTTTGAAAGAACATCCCAAGATACCAGGCATGACAGAGCCCCCCCTTTTTTTTGAAGTATGGTTTTTTCACTATAACATAAAACTACTTTGATTATTAGATCGCCATTTTTTTTTGAGTTTTTCAAGACACTGAACTTTCCTCCTCTTGTAAAATAAAATCTTTAAAAAACAAAGCGCCCTGACTATATCTTTTTATAATCAAAGGCATAATTTCGAATGGATTTTTTTTTCTCAAGAAAATGGATTTTCTGAAAAGGAAGAGAGCATCAAAAAAATAAATTACCATCGGGAAATGATGTTGGTAATCGAGTTAAATTTTTTGGTTCAGTAACTACTTCACCAAGTTTCTAAAAAAGAAACATTTATATTTATTTCTTATTCAATGAAACATCAATTAATTAGCTGCCTAATTCGAGCTTGAAAATAAATCAACACTTCATTGGCACTGACATAGTCAACAATCAAGACAAATTTATATTGAATTCGAATTAAAATTTGAATAAAGAACACTCATGTTAGAACAACCAAAGATAAATTCTATCTCAATCATAATTCAATGAAGGACTAGCATTCCATATCGCAAGTTTATTCACAATACTCCGATCTACTGGGGTAGCTCTGAGAAATTTCGGTTTCAGCTGTAAACAATTGTCGAGAGTATTTTTTACCCAAATTTGAATTATCTATAAGAAATTCTGCACATTTTCGCATTCCAGGTTAGACTCTTAATTTTGTAAAGACTTCAATAAAAGCTTTCAAACGTAAATTATCACAGAAATAATTTAGTTTTTACAATAATTATTGCTGAAATAAAAATCTATCTTTCGTCATTTTGGCCGTTCTAACATGAAACTGTTGATTCGAATCTTAGTTGAGCCTGCCGAAAATAGGATTTTGAAACAGTTTTATATTAACTCGACAATCGAGCTAAGAATGAATACGATTATGGTCACTCGAATAAGAATAATTATGTTGGAAACCGCTGTTTCGACATATTTGTGAATATTAAAAATCATTTGCGTAAATATCAGTACTGGTGGAAAAGACTTACAGATTGTTAACAGATTCAAGTTTCAAGATGGGTCTGATACAGATCTGTAGAGTTGGGTTAGCTGGATTTGGTATTACCTTTAAATCTAAATCAGATAGTAAAATTACTCAGGAAATTATTCCCAAGATTTCCGGTAAAAACTAAAGAGTCCAACCGTTTATTATTCATTAACACTTGCTTTCTCTAGGTTGCCCTGATCATCAACAAAGCTGCAGGTTATTATAAGGTTTCTCTATCAAGCTATTTTTGCTGTAGCTTTCTGCATTATTAAATGAATGGTAGCTATTGTTGACTTGCTAGGAAATACAGACGGGCCAGAAGTTAATATATTAATTTGCCCTGCGGTTTTGGATAGAAGAAATTGAGAAATTGGTTCCCTATCGTGGTTATTACGATTTGTCCGAAGCGCGGCGAAGCGAACCGAGGCAGAAGCCCCACGAGGCGAAGTGAGGCGAGGTAAAAGGAATTCGGAGCGAGTCGAGACGATGCGACAAAAACTTGCCTCGTTTCGGGCTCTGATTCATTCTTGCAGATAAAAAACGTGTTTATAGATTTGTTTAAAGTATTAAAGCGGTTCATTTGTTGTTGTCATTGTAATATTTAATAAAAGAACCAAATTTCTTTTTTTTTATTGAAAATAGCTACCAGTAAATATATATATTTATGCCTTGTAATGCAACATAACAACTTCAAATCAAATGTGACGTGATGTCAAGAGAAATAGTGGTGATATCTATTGATTGATAAAAATATAAAAATTTTATTTGAAAATAAATTAATTAATAACAGAAAATTTTCTTTTGTTGAAATATGTTTATTTAATGATATTGGATTTTCGAGGTTATTTAAATAGAAAATTGATTGGTTTAAGTAAATAGAATTTCAATTTTATCTGGTGGTCAGTGTCCATTTAATAAAAATATTCATTATGTCAGAGTTATCTGCAACACCTAAAAGTACATTAATTGGCTGTGATGAAAATGAATTATTGCATTATCTGCATGATCGTTACACAGCTAATCATATTTATGTATGTATAGATGTGACATTTTTTTAAGAACTTCTCATGTATCTTGTTCATAGACTTATGTTGGGTCAATTTTAATTGCTGTGAATCCACATCAACAAGCCGATAATTTATTTGTGTATGAATAAATATCGTTTACGGTGGTCGTATATACGTCGTATTTCGGCGTATACGACACGACGATATACGGTCGTAAATCTGGCGTCAAGTAATACGGCGAAATACGATCGTACACGATCGAATACGACGTCGTATACGATCGTTTACGACTATCATAATGCTCGTCCTGGACAATTAACAAAAGTGTTTGGTGCACTAAACGGTGAAGATAGGGAAAATAAAAAGCTGAAACAAAGTTTTGAAAAGATTGCAGTAAATTTAAACAAATAAAAAATATTTTATAATAAATTATTAAATTTTTTTGTTTAGACTGCTTATGAACAGGCGAAGAGAAAAAAACCGACGAAGATGAAGAAATCAAAATTAACCTC